ATGTCAATGTAGTGCAATTGCTGTCTCTTATACACATCTAGATGTGTATAAGAGACAGTATATATCCAACGGGGTCATTGGGGCTTTGTTGGAAAAACATGATAATATGAATATCAAAGCAAGGATCAAATAATTGGTATGTATAGGCCTATTTAAGATTTAAGACGAGGACTGATATATGTGTAAGGGTCGCTTAAAACCAGATATTGTCGAGTTTGAACGTATGGGGTGAGGGAGTTGGTTCCACATAGGAACAATACGATTGAAGTAGAATCTTCTATAAGTTTCAGTTTTGCAACGTTTGTCAACGAGTTTGAGATGGTCAGAATGACGAAGAGAACGTGAAGAGGCGAGGGATTCATTAAAAACGAAAAAATGTTTAAAATCCAAGTCATAATAGTTAAAATTATGTCAATAGTAGTATCGTTCGTGTAATGGTATTATAGATAGGAGAGTCGGTGAATGAGACCGTTTTTAGTAGCATTGACCCGGCTAAGGGGCACAGAGTATAAGTCAGTGTTACGTGAATTTGGTCTATGTATTTTAACATAAATAAAGATAGAAGAGGGCAAGTAAAAAGCGAGTTAAAACATAAAACAACGTTTCAAGGGGCACCTATCAAACGTGCCCCTTTAAGTGTGAATTGGTAAGAGGTGAATAGGCGAGCATTAACGTTGTTATAATTAATAAAATACATAAATTTGGATTGAACTCGTTCTATGCGATTTGATTGATTGATAAATACATATAGAATTATAAATCGGGAATAAGATCAGGAGTAAATTAAGCTACGTAACCGAAACACTTTTCGCTCAAATAAAAGTTAGTGTGCTGTTGTTGACGGGTTGCCGAGCAATGAACGCGTTTTCTGACATTTTGTCGCGAGGATATGTAGGAAGGCATTGTACCGCAGAACACATTTGGCACGTTTTACTTTGGCTACTTTTGTAATAACGTGAAAATTAATTTATTACCGGACAGTTAAGGTGTATTTTAGGTCAATCCACTTTGCATGTATCATTGCAGTTTAGAGTAAATCAACGTTTCAAACCAGGCCATGCTATTTTTGTAAAGTCAGGCGAGGCTGCAATCACTTTACTGCCGTCGCAGCCTGTCTGTAGAGTGTTGTGTTGTTGTGTAGGCCCAGCGGCTAGCCTACATCATACAGGTAGTGTAGAGCCCCTAGGAGGACTAGGCCTGCCCCTTTTTTATACAGGCAAGAAGACGAGGTTCTACTGACAAGCAAGCAAGAGATAGTACAATGTATTTCCAAATCAAACGTACAGGTGTAGTGTCATTGTTGCATAAATTAAGGTAAGTGTGCAAGGTTATCAATGATGTGCATTGGTAAGTAGGAAGCCTAGCAGTAGTACTGGCTTGGTACAAATTGTGTACTTCTTTATGGCCTTGCCTTGCTGTGACTGAGGAGGGGCGCATGTGTGTTTTGTTGAAAGAAAAAAATCATTTTTTGCAGCTAGCTGATTGATGGGCCTATTTTTTGTTGTAATACTAATAGTTCTGAGTAATCATGAAAACCTCAAGATTTTATTCTAAGAAACGTGAACTATCTACTAAAACATATGAAGAAAAGTATGAAATTTTAACGTTCATTGAAACAAATCCAAAAATGAAGAGGAAGGATGTTGCAGAAAAATTCAACATCAAGCCAAATACATTATCTTGTATACTGAAAAAGAAGGAAGACATAATAAAAATCGTGGAAGAAAATTCACCTGTTATTGGTAAACTAAAGAGGATAAAAACAACTACATTTGTTGATGTAGATAAAGCTCTACTAGCATGGTTCAGGCAGAATGCATTTATACCTAGGACGTTAAAGGTTGACGGTATATCATTGATCACAAAAGCAAACGAGTTCGCCCGAAAATTTGGTCATGAACAACTTATAAACATGTCATGGATAGACCGTTTTAAAAAGAGGCATGGTATTAGTAAAGTTTATAAAACTGAGGGACAGGCTGGTGTAATACAGGTAGCAGTTAAGAGTGTGAATGAATGCAAAGAAGAAAGTCCACCAATTGTAAAAGAGATCCTGTTGAACTTTGAACCGTGGAACATTTATAGTGCAAATGAGACTGGCTTATTTTGGAAAATGTTACCAGAAGAATCATTTGGTTTTTTAGGACAAAGGCATTCAGTTGCAAGCCAACCAAAAACCAGGATGACAATTTTAGTCTGTACTAATATGGATGGAAGTGATAAAGTACCATTGTTCGTAATTGGAAATATTAAAGAGCCCCGTTCCTTTAGAGAATTAGAACTTCCCGTTTATTACAAAGCAAATAGCAAGGCGTCAATGACTAAGGATTTGTTTGAGGCATGGCTTCGAAAATTTGATAACGAAATGAGGCTTCAAGGAAGAAAAGTCGCAATGATCTTACATAATTGTACTGCCCATTCCAAGCTGTTGAAGCTGGAAAATGTAAAATTGTATTATCTGCCACCAACGTCAGTCACCCATCCAATAGACGGAGGTATAATACTAAATTTAAAGCATCACTATAGAAAGATCCTTTGCAGTAAGCGGCTGGCAGCTGTTAATTCAGATCCCCTATTATTTAAATGGAACATTCTGGATGCTGTCATTTCTATTAAATCGGCTTGGGAAAGAGTGACACCAACAACCATTTGTAATGCTTATAAAAAAGTCGGCTTCATTTATGATAAAATGGCAACTGAACAACTGGTGGACGATGACGATGAAACTGTTTATCACCTTGAGTTTCCAGAAGATGAAATTAATGGGGATGAGGAGTCTGAGGAAAAGGAAGAAATGCAAAATATCTGGCAGAAATTAGGGGAGACGTTTGAACTTCCATCTTTGGAGGACTATGTAAATATCGACGATGGTGTTGATGTTGTAGAACAGCATAATGATGTCAATGTAGTGCAATTGATGACAGGTGTGAAGGATGAAAGATCAGATGAGGAGGACAATGGTGATCAGTCAATATCATTGTTGGATGTATTTAAGGCAAATGATTTGATAAGAAAATTCAACCTGAGACAAGGCATCGACTGCCCGGCTGACATCCAAGAGATGAGCGACAGATATGAACGCTTCTTGCTTCAAGTCTCAAGTAAAATAAAATGACAAAGAAAATTAACGAAAAGTTTTGAATAATTGAGTATAAAAATTATGATTAGAAGCTGATTACACTACTACTGTATACTCTGATAAAGTGCAGCAAACCAAAAAAAAAAAGGAACTAGAAAAGTTGTTGATTTACACAAGACATTTTAAATAGTTGCAATTTGAAAAAAAAAAAATCAATTTTTTTATGAATTAAGTGATAAAAAATGTTAATGAAAATGTTGTTTAATGCCCCTTTCCCACATTCACGATTTTTGCTACGACAGAGCATGATTTTTCGATTTTGAATAATCGCAATAGCGTTGTCGTAAATGTCGTGGTCAAAAATAATTCATCGTATTGCATCGTACTGGATCTTGATGTCATCGTGATGGAGCACGATTTTTTTGGAATGTTACAAAAAAATCGTGCTCAATCGTAGCCGTGAAAAAGATCTTGGTCTACCGCAGCGGCATCGTGTGAGTGGCGTAACGTTGTCGTTGTTTGTCGTGACTGGGTCTTGTCCATTCCTACTACCAACAACACCTATGACAAGCCAAGACGTCGCTGCGGTGCTGAGACGATTAGATACGATGCCACCAGGATACCATCAAGACCGTGGTTTATCACGTGGCTCTGTGTCAGAAAAGTTTTTCAACACACTGAACAATTCCTTGCTCACTTGGAGAAAGTTTCTGAAGCCTCTTGGGTCTTTTCTATTTAACTCCACTAGTATTAAAGTGTTCATACTGTCTAAAATATGGACGAAGTAAGAGCCAGGCTGACAGTACCCATACACTTCGTTTAGGCCTATGTATTTGACGTAACCAACGCTTACTCTTGATTATCAAAACTGTAGCAGCCAACAAATTTTTTTCTTCTAGAGTCAGCAGCTTACAAATATTGATGGTGTTTGAACAGTGCATTTTTTTGTCGTGATGTTTGTTTTTGTGATGTGCGTTTTCTTAAATCGTGCTAACCTCATGCTTGCGTCTTTGTGAATTGTAGTGACGTCGAATTAAAATTATGGTAATTCGTAGTTTGTCGTCACAAATCGTAACTCTATCGTTATGATTCGTAAAAATGTCGTCACACTATCGCATTAGTGTCGTAATACATCTTGACGGCGTCCTAGTAGCATCTTGATAAAAACGTAAAACTTGACTTTTTTGAGTATGAATCACTACGATAGAGGGCGATTTTCAAACTTTTTAAAATCGTGCTCCATCGTAGCAAAAATCGTGAATGTGTGAAAGGGGCATTAGGCAGTGTTTCCACAACACCCAATGAATTATCAGATAGCAGCTAGTATCAAACACTTCATAATAAAAATCGAGTATTAATTTTGTGTGTTATTAAAAAAACAAAAAAACAGTTGCGTTTGACGATAACGATGCCTGGCTGGGCGTATTGTTGGTCTATCCCTACCTACTGTATCTTTTCTTGTACCGTAAGTATAGCACACCAAACAAAGCTAGCATTTTTTTTCGTCCTCTCAATCTCTGTATAGACGTACAGTACTGTAAAATGAAACATCATTATGAGTTCCCAGAGAGTTAAATACTGTAGTACTAAATGATTTCGTTCTTGGCTTGGACCTATCCATCTCGCACAAAAAAGGGTCAAGGAATGTTTTGATGTTGAACACATTGCATTGTGATCCATAATTGTGCACGATATGATAAAATATTTGGAGGGAATTTTAATTTATCTGAGAAATTATCGAGAAAATTTTAAGTGCTGCAGAAACACGTCCAGGTAGATGCTTATAAGTAATAGTATTTCACAATCACCATCAAATGTTTAGAATTGTTTTATACATGCGCATAGGCTGTTTTTTTGATAAAAATTAAGTTGTTTATTAGAAGCAATTTTCTCCAAAGTATGCTTTGACCAAATTAAAACTCATGGTGTGATCTATTTTAGTAATATTTATTTACTGTAGTTGCAGGAGACTCAATCTGCGATGACACCTATTTAAAATAAAAAATTATTTTAGTATAAAAATTGTGAAGCAGGTGACCTCTGTTTTCCTGTTTCATCGAAGAATTTAAAGTTTTGATTTTTTTATACAGTATGTTTGGTATTTTAGTTGATTATTACGGTAGTTTCAGAAAATATAACCCAGAATAAGGAAAAGCAGTGCTGCAGCTGAAGGGGGTGGAGGTGCTTACTGTAAGCCTTTTTGTCTGATCAAATAATAAAAGTATTCCACAATAAGTTCGGAAACTCATATTTGCAGGGCATTCAAAATTTTAAAAGCAATGTTTTGTTTATTATTTAGCGTCACAGTCATTTTTTGCTAATTCTTCATCACTTTCTTCCAGATGCTACAGTATTCATCCAGTCCTGCGTCAGCCTAACGCCTTCTAAGAAATTGTGCACTACTTCACCGGTGCCAGTTTCGTCCTGTATACTCTACATCCATGTTTTGTCGCCTTCAGTCAAACAGTTTCAATGCAGAAGCTAGCTTAGTCTGTTCCCAGTTCTTTTCCCTTTTATTGTGGTAAACTGAAGTCGCCATACTGTACTGTACACTTTACATTGGTTTTAATCCTACCATATTATCAGGATTGTTTTTGTAATGACTACAGTATATTAGGATGGTCTTAGTCATTTGCCACAACTCTTGCTTCGCTGATCACAGCTGTCCCATAGATGCAAATATAACTAAAGCGCCCTCAAATTTAAATGGCACGTTCAGGAGTTAAAACGTAAAAAAAAAAACATATAAACTCATGTGTGATAAGCAATCGTATTGTGCATAAAATGACTATGAAAGCACAGTTAGAGAAGGAAATGATGCAAAATCATGAATACTCATGAAAACAGTCCTGAATGAATCTAACGCATGAGATGTTGTTGACTGTTTTGACGTGGGATTTATCAGTGCACTTGGGCATAGGCTTATCTCATTTCCACTTGTGGTAGCTTCAACTTCCTGAAACGCATTACAAACTTTGATAAAAACCTGTTCCATTAATGCTTTTGCAGATGTGATACTGTTTCATTGTACTGTAATAATACCAATTCCCCATAGGCAACATTGAAGAGAAACAAGCTAAATTGCAACTACAACAAAAGTATTGAATTGATGATTTATTTATTTAAACAATTTATTAATACAAAGTGACCAAAAATAATGGTCACAGTGTGTCATAACATCTAATGACAATAGTTTATTACAAATATTGCATTGATTAACTCTAGTTTGTTTGTACTATTTATTGCTATGTCATAGAACAATACAATACAAAAGATGAAAAAATACATATCTTAAATATAACAATTAACATTTGCAATATAAACAAAAATGACATAGCAAAGGATAGCCCTTTAAGCTGGAATGCTTGTTTCAGAAGGGGTCCTCAACTAAACATCAGCAAGAAAAAAAGATACAAAGAAAGAATGTAAAACATTTAAACATTATAAAAATATTACTAAATTAAAAATACAGTATAAGAGCTAAACTATACATATTAGCAATATTTACTTAAGAATTTTCTAATTTTTTAATTATATTATTTTACACAAATTGTCATTTTTATTTATACAGGCCTATAAAAAATTTTCAATTTTTACATAAATTATATACAATTACAAAATTTCCATCCTATCCATTAAATAGTTCTAACCTAGTCTGCCAACACTGAGAGTGCTGGACTTCTTTTATAAATTTATACACAGACTGGAACAGCTGTGGGATGTTTAGGGTGTGCAACAGTGTTGTAATGAAGCCTCCTTAGAGTCATTGCACATCCAATTGTCTTTAGACAAAGTCTGCTCATGTATTGCCATGTTTGCACAGTATAGTGATGTAATTGCCTTTCACTACAATAGTTTCATTCTTCCGAATTCTTGCACTTTCTATCCAATTACTCTGTCTGCTGGTAAGAAGCTTAACCACATACTGGGATTGTGTATTCAGCTGCGTTCTGTGGAAATATTTGCTGATGTATGGCACAAAACATTTTTGTTCTGTCTGTAGCATGAATCTGAATATAGGCGGATATGATTTAACTACTCACAACTTCAGCATAGTTGACATTGACATTATGGATGTAAACACATCCTTTGACATTAGTAAAATAGTGGCTTATGACAACAGCCAAGTGTGTCTTTGTTGTTTTCATACACCATACAAATAAATAAATGGATTAAATCCTTTCCTTACAGCTGACCCTGTAATACAAAAGTAGAAAGGGAATAATAGTTTTGCGAAAAAAAGAAATTTTAGCCCAAAATTCTCCATAAAAATATAAGAGAGTCATATCTGTCTTTGTGGTGTTCGTGCTCCATACATATATATAAAGGAAGCCTTTCCTGGCAGCTGACCACTTCCTCAGTAGTGAACATAATCGAATACAACAGTTTTGACAAAAAGAAATTGTAGCATAAAATTCTCCATCATAACAAAAATATATGATAAGTGAGTCAAATCTGTCTTTGTGGTTTTCGTGCTCCGTCCAAATAAATAATTGGATAATCCTTTCCTTGCAGCTCTACCACTTCCTCAGTAGCAAATATTATGAACACAAAAGTAGAAACAGATTGATAGTGGTTTGTTCAGTGCACCCCAGTCATATTCAACCTGTTGGGCATGCTTTGTCTTACAAAAAAAAAAAAAAACCAATACAAGTCTTTTAAAACTACTCATAACAGCTTAAAAATGTTTGCAGGGCATTCCAAATTTTAAAGCAATGCCTTAATTTTAGCGTCACAGACACTTCTTTTTCACTTCTTCCAGATCCTCCAATATCATGCAATGAAATTGGTTTAATTGGAAACTCGTCTGGGGTGTAGCTAGGATCGTTGTCTTCTCCAGAACTTAATTCTTCTGGGGTGCTTGTTCTAAGAGCCTGAGTACAAGTACCATCTAGAACATCTTAAATGACTTTTAAGAATGGTCCAATATTAATACAGGGTCATTGGTACATACTTTTCCAATCTCATCTCGGAATCATTATCACATGTGTGACAAATGTAATTTTTGTCTCCATCTATGCAATCTAAGTGGGCCATATTAGAGCACAAAGTAGTTCTTCAATTTAATTTTTTCAGGTGTGTCTTATACAGTATGCAGTGCCTGGAACTGTAGTATGACTTGTACCTGCTGCATTTTTAGCGATCTTTCAATATCACAAGTGGCAGATGTGAGTGGATCTGTTGCGCCACTTGTGCATGCTTCTGAAGTGCTAGGAACTTACTGTTGTACCACAAGCAGTGCAGCTGTAGTGTTGCTTGTAAGTATGGTTGCAACTTGTAAAGTAGTTGAGGCAGTGCTCTCTGAGATGCACCTGGACACTCGACACAGCACAACACAACAAGTAACACAAGTATATTCTGAGTCTTTTGTCTAGGCATGCTCAACAGATTCTCTGTTGCCACAAAAGGGAAAATAGGCTCCTTTTCCTTTACAGTGGCCTTTTGTAGTCCATATTTATGTTTGTAGGCAACTGGATCTATTGTAATTGCACCACGCCTCCTCTCCAGAGAGGCACGGTGTTGAGGGTTGCTGTCTGACAAAACTATGTGCGGAACTACGGCTTTTTACAGGTTGTACCATGCTATACAAATTATTGGTATTTTTTCTATTGACAATGATATATATAGTTCTGTAGTGCATTGATTGTAGTGCAGTGTAGTTCCTTTTTTTTTTTTTTGGTTTTTACAGTAAGTCACTCAACCGCTTACCGCACCGTTTCTGAACGTGCCCGACACATTGCAGTTTGGTGATTTCACACTTAGGGATGTATGGCTTCTCTTCAGCAACTTTTTGTAGGATGCTGTGTCTCCATCACCTAAATACTTTGTATAC